TGTGTACATATATAACCCGCACTGGACTATAAACCGCAGGTGTTTTAATGTTTAATTACCATATGTAAGGGTTCGTGCACAGAGGGGATTGTCGGGGAAAGAGATGGCTGTTTGAGGAAGCTCCCATTTATTAACATTTCAACAAACAAGTTGCATATTTGCATAACGTATTCAAGTGTTAGCATTTAGTGCAATAGTAGCTACAGAACATGTACTGTGCTGTGTAGACTGTACTGTATCACATAGCGTTTCAGACACACAAACTTTTCAACTTTCAAACTCCCAGCGCACGTACCGGCAGTGATCTACAGCAGTGGTTTTCAACCAGTGGTACGGGGACAAATTGTCTCGCTCTCGTAATGTCTGTCTGTCTTGCTCTCGTTCTGTCTCTCGTACCACTCTCGGTTCCACTTTTACTTTTGCGCGCTACCTGTCTCACTCTTTTCCGGCCTCCAGCTTTTCCTGCTGGAGCCCGCCGCTTAAAGGTGGGGGGCGCGGACCGGCCATAGAGCCCATAGAGTTAAAGGTGGTGGACTGTAACCTGTAAAATCCATAGATTAGCCGCACCGTTATATAAGCCGCAGCGTCGAAAAATGGGAAAAAAGGCGCGGCTTATAGTCCGAAAATTACTGTACATTTAGTTTGAAAACTTCAGTTATTGTCGTGCATTTCATTTCAACTTCATTCCTAATGCTGTTTTTGCAACGCTAAAATGATTCCATTAACACTATTTTACATTTGTTGCCTAAATATGAATCTATACTTCTTATATTTTTAGGTATGTTGTTCATTTTCTAGAGGAGTGTGTGTTGACAGTGTTTTTGTTCCTTCAGTGTTTTCCAGAAGGCACAGACATGACATCCATCCTCGACTTCTACTTCCAGGTAAATGGAGTTGAGAAATATAAAGGAGTAAATCAAACTACTTGTTAAAACCTGTAAACTGAAAACAATCAGATCCTGGGAGCCCGTAGCTTGGAGAACTTTGACAGAAGCTTCTATTTGTTTTTACTGCAGCATATTCTTAATCTTTTTCTCGACACGTGCTCCTCCTGTTAGCTGTGTTCCATCGAGGTGACTTGTGAGAGCGCTAGCGTCATGGCGGCCACTCTGGCCAACGGCGGCTTCTGTCCAATCACAGGCGAGCGTGTGCTGAGCCCCGAGGCGGTGCGGGACACTCTGAGTCTGATGCACTCCTGCGGCATGTACGACTTCTCGGGACAGTTCGCCTTCCACGTCAGTATCCCTCCTCCTCAATAACATGCTTTGAATGTTCTAACTGTCACATTCTAACTTCTTCTTCTTGTGTTTCAGGTGGGTCTGCCGGCTAAGTCTGGAGTGGCCGGTGGGATTCTGCTGGTTGTTCCCAACGTGATGGGCATCATGTGCTGGTCTCCTCCGCTCGACAAGCTGGGCAACAGCGTCAGAGGCATCCAGTTCTGCACGGTAACCCAAAATCATTTTACTGTTGAGCATTTTGTAGATTGAATAGTGGTGGTAAGATGTTTCCTGGCTATTAAAAGGACACTATCTCTGAAATCATGAGTTGATCTGCTGAGTTTCCTCCTGAAGGTCAGACGATGTCACTGAGCTGAGGTTGAGACTTTATGTCTGTCTCTAATGTTTGCTAAATGTCTTCTCTCAGGACCTGGTTTCCCTATTCAACTTCCACAACTACGATAACCTGAGACACTTTGCTAAGAAGCTGGACCCCCGCAGGGAGGGGGGAGACCAGAGGGTGAGTCCCAGCATCATCCTGACCCTGTGATATTATCATGACCTTCTCTGATTGTTCTATTATTATTATGATTATTATAATTAGTCTAAAACAGCTGCAGTGAATAATACATGTACTGTCTGCGTCACTCCCTTGATGCTGCATGACCTTGTGTGTAGCATTTGATCAACAGCGCCCCCTGGTGGAAAACACTGCATACAGAAACTGACCCATTTCTCAGATTTGATACAGCTGCTGTTGTTGTCTGATCCTTACATGTCACATCTAGAACATCATCAATCTCTCTCTGATAGTGTTATATATGAACGACTTGGTAAACATCTGTAAAAGTTACAAGTGGCTCTTTTTGCTTTGACGTGCTTCTCGTTGTGTTTCAGGTGAAGTCCGTGATCAATCTGCTGTTTGCTGCGTACACCGGGGACGTCTCGGCTCTCAGAAGGTGACACAAATGTTCCCATTTAAAATCCACACGAGCGCTAATAAAAAAGATTCTGGAGTTTAATGTGAGTCGGGCGTTTGTCCAGGTTCGCGCTGTCCTCCATGGACATGGAGCAGAGAGACTACGACTCCAGGACGGCGCTGCATGTGGCCGCCGCTGAAGGTAAAACACAGAGGAGGAGGTCACTGTCAGGGGGAGGGTCTGTCACTCTGACTACTGGGAAGATAACCTGTGTGTGTGTGTGTGTGTGTGTGTGTGTGTGTGTGTGTGTGTGTGTGTGTGTGTGTGTGTGTGTGTGTGTGTGTGTGGGNAGGTTTGTACAGTAAACAAAGGACCTTTGAGAAGGAAATACAGGTTGAAGAATAAAATAACTGGGAGCATGGCGGCTGATCCCAGAGGAACTGGGTGACAGCTTGGGTAAGAGTCCGGGCATATGAGAGTTCACAGGGAGCTGAGTCCTGGCTGCTGCTGCTGCTGCTGCTGCTGCTGCTGCTGCTGCTGCTGCTGCTGCTGCTGCTGGCCGGGGCCCATCACTTATTTATAGAGCTTGGCCTCACAGGAAGCACGTGAGCGTTTGTTTTCTCTGCAGGATCCCATGCCACAGGGATTAGACGGAGTGTGATGCAGTGAGATAGCTCAGCCACAAATCTGTGTGCTACCAGAGAGTCACACACACACACACACACACACACACACACACACACACACACACACACACACACACACACACACACACACACACACACCCTGTCAGGAGGAGTCATGTGTTTACTGTCTGTGGTGCTTACTAGCTCTGATAAAAAGGATCAGGACCAAACTGAACAACATTTGGGAGAAAGATTAGTAGAGGAAGGACTGTAATGTATAAATATGTGCATATTTTGGATATTGCTCAAAAGCAAACAAATGTAATCTAACTTTAGGCTGGTAAAATGTGAAGACAGACATGTTATGCATAATGAAATGGAACAAACATTTCGAACAGCTCTCCCCAAAACACTTCACTAATGACACGATCTGTAACTTCTGTCAGCTGTAGTGTGAAGATCTGTTCAGCTAGTAAGATCTTGGACACTTGGATTAGCTTAAGGGGGGGCTTAACAATAAACCAACAAGTGATACGCATTGTAAAGTGTTCAGAAGAATAAGCACCTGTTAAAGTGTGTCCTGTGCTTCAGGTGCGTGCAGAGCAACATCGTGCTGCTCACTCAGGCCTTCAGGAAGAAGTTTGTCATCCCAGACTTCCAGTCCTTCTGCGCACACATAGACGAGCTCTACGATAAAGCCAAAAACATGCCAGGAGGACAGGTGAGGGGGGGCACACACACACACACACACACACACACACACACACACACACACACACACACACACACACACACACACACACACACACACACACACACACATTGCTGTCGGTATCTCAAACTCCTAAAACGTCTGGCTGTGAACCCTGCAGGTGGCCGACTACATCCCCCAGCTGGCCCGCTTCAGCCCCGACCTGTGGGCCGTCTCCCTGTGCACCGTGGACGGACAGAGGTACCACTTGAGAATAAATCCTTTTCACAAAACCTTAAGGGCACGAGTATACACCTTTTTGTGTGAACGTGTGTCCTTGTGTGTGTCCCTCAGGCACACAGTGGGCGACACCAAGGTCCCCTTCTGCCTGCAGTCCTGCGTGAAGCCGCTGAAGTACGCCATCGCCGTGCACGACCACGGCACCGAGTACGTGCACCGCTTCATCGCCAAGGAGCCCAGCGGCCTGCGCTTCAACAAGCTCTTCCTGAATGAGGAAGGTGAGGATCACACACACACACACACACACACACACACACACACACACACACACTTTCTCCGTACTCAGAGGGTAAGAGGATCCTTGGTTGCTATGTGACTTCAGTAAATTGTTTACTAAAGGTAGCAGCACAGCACAGAGTGGTCAGTGTGTCCGGCTGCTGAAAGTCTGGAGAGCCACAGAGAATAAAAACCTCTGTGTTTGAGATGTCCTGCAAAGTATAGCCTGAAACGTACTGAGGAGCTTAGTCAGGGTCTGTATAATGACTTTCATTTTCTGAGTCTCTTAAAGTGTCTAAATCTTTTTCTATATGCTCCTTTGAAGCTTTCATTTTTTCCTCATCCGGTGCCGCAGACATAACATCAGCTCCAGACTTGACGCTCAGTAAAAAATGACTCATTTCTGAAAGGAATGTTGTTTGAGAGAGGTTTCTGGTTTCCTCTCTTTGTTGAGATCTAACAGCAGATTATATTCCGGCTGTTTATTTTTGGATGGAAAAACAAAACATTGTCCCGGCCTGTTGCTTAAGAAGATTAAAACCCAGGAGAACATCAGTGCAGGCTGTGGGTTTTAAATTCTGTGAATGTGGGTTTTCATGTGCAGCTACTGTATCTACCACGATCTTATTTGAATTTAATGTCTATAACTAACGTGTTGATTCTTAATTCAGATATTTTCCAAGTCCTCCCCTAGCGCTTATCAGTAAAAGCCAAATAATATCTTAACATTTATGATCAGATTTATTAAACCTTCAGTTTCTCTCCTACAGATAAACCACACAACCCCATGGTTAATGCTGGAGCCATTGTGTGTACCTCCCTCATTAAGGTAAGCTGCCTTCACACACCCCACCATTACAAATGATTATTTTAGAAGCTCACTGATCAGCTGCGGTAGTGGATTTGAATGCCATCATCCCGTTATATTTGTAAAACATAGATTACAGTCTGTGAGGTGTTTTATTTCTATGTCAGGAGTTTCTAACTGCATTCAAATCCAAAAAGAAATCGTCTGAAATGAAATGATAATCGTGTGGAGAACGTGTTTCTGGCAGATTACTGTATACGGGGGAGATTAAGGTTCTAGATAATCACGCTGAAAGGGGATTTGGTTTGAAAGCAGCACCGCTCACATATCCTGCACACACACACACACACACACACACACACACACACACACACACACACACACACACACACACTCTCTCTCAAATGAAACTGCTCTTCTGCTGGTTTCATTAAACTTCCTCACACACAGGGAGCTGTTAGCACCACCTGCTGATTCAATTAAAACCTTTAAATGTTAACTCTCACTGACCTGAGGACAGCGAAGGTGTCCCTACAGACTGACGAGCAGTTTAATTAGCATTAATATAGAGAGGCGAAGTCCCTCCCTTTCCGGGGGGACCTTTATTTAGGGAAAAAAGTATGCATTGAAGTCAATGGAGAGAGAAAGATAATTTAAAAAAATGAATTTACACTTTGTTTGTGTGAAACCGCTCAATAAACTACATCTCCCGTTTCGCACCACACACCAAGATGGCCGTCACGTTGGCACATTTCACTTCTTTCTTTCAGAATGAGGTGAAAAGTATTAAAAGAGGTGAAAATCACTCCAAGTCTGGGCATGTTGAGAGCTGTACATACACACAAGGGGAGTTAGTCGGTTCCGTAAGAGCCAGCATGCGGGACCGGGATTCTGGGATTTGTAGTCTTTCTAGTTGCGTATTTTTCATAGTCTTATATTTCAACAGTTTTTAGACAAACTGTGACTTTTTTGACATGGAAATGATTTTTTAAGATTGACAAACATCATATGTGTAATTCGTGGCACAATTCAAACGGGATCGAAAGATAGGTTTTCTCTCTCCATTGACTTCAATACATAATTTTTCCGAAATAAGGTCCCATGGCCCGGAAGTAGATGGGCGGGACTTCGCCTCTCTATAGAGATGTTGGAATATTAGATCATAATATACACACCGTCAGGAGAGCAGTATTTAATCAAGCTTCACAGTCTTCACATTCACAGAGTTAAGGAAAAGAATGTAATGTTTTAAGGAAATCAGAAAAATGACTTCTGTTTCTGACTTTTTTGCTTTTAAACACACAGTGGTGTGATTACAAGTCAAATCCTGAGTCCAAACACCATAAAAACCTTTGACCAGCTGCTATAATCATCCAATCATATGTGTGTAGTCTAGGTCTCCCCCCCCCCTC